AATGACCCCCAGCACTGCTTGTGCCCCTTGCCCCCCACCCACAGCCCCTGCCCCCCAACCCTGCTGGAGGGGGCCCCCAGCTGACAGGGCTATGAGGCCAGGGACCCAGGTCTGCAGCCCCCTGCCCCCAACGGAAAGCAGCGGCTGCTGCAGCAGGAGCACGAGCTGGCTCCCCCCATGCTGCCCGCCTGCTGCAGGCTCAGGTGGAGCCAGCTCCCAGTGGCACTGTGCACTCCTGAAGGGCAGGGGGTACCCATGCCCTCCATATCTGTGTGGGGGGTGGGGGCAGGGCGGACGTGTACTGCCCCCGTGCACGCAGAGGAAATGTGGCCAGGGCAGCATAGACCTTGCAGCAGCAGACAGCTTTTATGCACGACCCCGCTGTGCCCTGCCTTGCCAGTCGCACATGCTAGCAAGGAAAGCCTGGGGGAGGACAGCAGAGTGGAGAGCACAGTGTTTGTGATCCAGGGTTTGCAGCTGGCTGGGCACTCTGGTTGGGAGGGGGTTTGCAGCCTGCCTGCTCCTGGCCAGAGTGCTCAGCCAGCTGCAAACCCCTGCCGCTCCCAGCCACCTACAAACCCCCTCTCCCAGCCACCTACAAACCCCCTCTCCCAGCCAGAGTACCCAGCCAGGGACTGCCCACGCTGGCTGGGGGCTGAGGGAATGGGGAGGTCTGCAGCCAGCCAGGAGCAGCAGGGGTTTCCAGTCAACCAAGCACACCGGCAGGAGGCTGCAAACCCCTCTCACCCAGAGTGCACTTACCTCCAGCAAGAAGAGTGAGAGTATTGGGCCCTGCCCTTCCACACTCCCTTCTCCTCCCAGCAGGGTTGAGGGTTTCCCTGCCCCTTTCACAAACAGCTCTTGTAGGCTGGAACTGAGACAGCCTGCAGAGCTCTTTGCAAAAGGGAGAAATCTATGGGTTTCTCTTCTAAAACAAAAAAAAAATCCATGGTTTTCTCTGTTTTTCCATGGGAAATGGAAAACCACGATCCCTGATAATCATAACCCATTGGGCTGCCACACTACCCTCTGAATAACAGTCTTTTTTACGGATAATAGTTAACCTTGTAACAATATTTAAAAGTTAAACAACATCTATCAACACTAAGTAGTTACTGCTAATTCAAAAGCAAGAATGAAATAAATAAGAAAAGTTGGTTAAAAAGAAAAATTTCATTTAAATCTCAGCAGTTGATACAATTCTAAATCTATTGGAGGGTGGAAGAAGAAGGATGGAGAATTTTTCCATTTTACTTTAAAAAAACAGATTTCTTACCTTGAAAGTAAAGCTTGACTCTTAAAAAATAAACAGTGCATAATAAATAAAAACTGTTAGACTTTCTGCCTTATTCTAGACACTTCAGTTTAAAAAATGCAAGTCACAAATTTTACACACAAATTGATTTTAACAATTTAAGCAAGAACTGTAAGGAAAGAATTTACCCATCTTAAGGCTGACAACTAATTTTTAAGAATGAACTTAAATAATGAAATTTTCCTCTTCTTTTTCATTTAATCAAATAAAGTGAAATCAATTATATCAAGTGAATGTGACTATCATAAAAGGTAATATGGGGCATTAAATGTATACAGCTCTCATTTATTTGTCTCTCCTTGTTTTAGAGCAGGGGTGTCATACAGGCCACAGGCCATGCCACCTGGCCCTCTAAGCTACCAGTGCGCCATAGAAATTGGTGGCATGACCAGCTGTGGGTGTAACCTGCTACAGAAACTAGGGCTCTAGCTCCTCATTAGACATGGCCCTCAGCAGTATGGGAGCAAGCAAAAGCTGTGCAAGATAGTCCTTGGTTGCCTGGTCCGCCGCCACTCAGCCCACTGCTGTCGTGGTTTCCACTACCGCTATGATAGATGTTGTCACAGCCATGGCCACTGCCCCACTCCCCAGGCCAGATACAGTCTACAAAGAGCCCTTGAGATCTGGATCCTGCCTGAGACCCATGGTAAATTTGCCTCTGCTTCAGAGCAACCATCTTTGGACATTGGCAATGCATAGGGGGTGCACATGCACCCTGAACATGGCGGTGCACCCCCTGCAAAAAGGTGCTGCCAGCACCTTCCTCTCTTGCCGCCAGCACTGCCGGCGGCATCTGTGGGTGGTCCACAATCGCTGCTGGCCACTGTCAACACTGCCAGTGATGTCTGCGGGTGCTCACCAACCACTGGTCAGCCCTGTGGCTGCTCCCCACTTGCCTCCGCTACACTCCCATCACTGACAATGCTGCTGCCGCCTGTGGGAGCTCACCGTGCCCCTCCCCCCCCAGCTTCCAGGGGCACACAGCATTCATGTCTTTGCATGAAAGAGTTCATTCTCCCTGGGCATTCATTCCTTGGCCTCTCTGATTATATTACCAAAATGGGTACCAACTGTGGTAGTGGTTTTTGTGACAAAAACCTGACCATTTGGAACAAGAATAAATCACCAGCTGTTGGTGAAAGAGCCAAACAATATAAATAACTATTGGACTGGTTAAAACAGAATTAGTGGCCTTCAGGTGCAAGTCCTAAAGCAGTCTTTTCCTTTTAATGCCTTAAGCCTTATTGAAGTCTTGCTTTCAGTGGGTGTGTCTATGGTTACTGCACATTCAGCTAGTAATTGTAATAATAGGTACTAACTGAATGTACTACTGCACAATAGCACCAATGCATGTTTTGTGATGCTAATACACAGCAGACTTTCTACTCTGCATTAGCACATTAGCACAGCTCTTTGCCGCGATGCACTAATGCATAATAGAATGAATATACTGCACATTTAGTGTCTCGTGTAGATGTGCCCACTGTTACCAAATTAGTTGAGCAGAATCTCCAATAGCAGCTTAATAAAATGTACATCTAAGAGTAACATATGAACTATCTTTCTGTGATTTCACAATGCTAAATTAAACCTCACAACTAGCAGCAATAATTTTGCCTTCTAAATGCACCAAACACTTTTACTGATCTGTCAATATCAAACATCCCACATTTATAAATGGAAGTAGAAAAACTTCCTGAAGGAAAAAATATATGTTAAACTATAAGTAGTATATTATGCCTGATGTCCACAAAGAGATTATGCTTTAACTAGTTTAGAGATTGGATTAGTACTACTTTTAAGGAACACTTAAAACTGACAGTAAGAAACATTGAAGATTGTTCTGCAACACATTAGTGTTTTTTCTCCTATGTTTTGTCTGGCTTCTGGGTTATGACACATTGCAGCATCTAGAAAAAAAATATACAACTTTTATAAAAGTAATATTTACCCAACAAAAAATACTGCTCTGGTTCTGGTTCACCTACTTCAATTTTTATGCTGTAGTTCTCGCCAAGAACACTCTCCAGGAGTTCTTTGATCATCTGGTCAGAGGGAGACTGAAAAGTAGACTGCAGGGAAGCAATTATTTCATCAATAGACCTTGCAGCCACTTTCACAGGCAACTTTGGTGTGGAAGTAGGCTCCTCTGGTTTGCTCTGCTGGAAGTTCTTCTCGTATATTTTTGAAGTGTCTGGTCTAGTTGTGTCTGAAGCTTCTTCCAACAGCTCTGGAACAGACCCCACACTTGGCTGGCTGCTACTTGGTGCTCTTTCCATCTCAGAAACTAAACTTTGTTGATTTTCTTTTAAAACTTTGCTACCTCTTTGCAAATCTTCTTTCCCAATTACTTTTTTTTCAGAAGCTTGTTTACTTGAATCAGAATCTGTACAACTAGATTCACGACTGACTCTGATGAGTTCTTCAGTACTATTTGTTTTTATAGCCTGAAGGTTTATCTTTAGAGTGGCAATTCTATCCTTCACTTTTCTAGTATCTTTGTCCTTCTGTAATGGAATGGGGGGCTTATTAGTCAGTGATCTTGGACAAAGAATAAGCCTGTTATAGCTAGGTTTCTGAGGGGGTACTGGTTGCTTAAACAAAGTGATTTGTTTTGCAGTACCTGCTAAAGATGCTATTACTGGCATCTTTTCGCTTGTTCTTGTGGTATAAGTGCTACTATTTCCCATGTTTATTTTTTCAAAGCAATGTCCTTGTTTTTTGTCAGTGCTGTCCTCTTTTGGAGGAGATTTATTTCTTTGAGTCATCATTCTGAGATCACGAGTTTGTTTTTTCATGCCTCTCACCTCACAGGAGAGCTTTACTTCTCTGTGGACTTCAGAACTGCCAATGAATTCATTAGGAATATTTTTATTTGTATTCATGACAGGCTTATGTGGACTCTTTGACCTCTGGAGAGGATAAAATTCTGGCTGAGGTGATTGATCTGGTGTTAAATCTTCCAATGAGGGTGGAGTACTTGCATTGGTATGAGCAACCACCCTGGCGAGTGGTTGTTTGAACTGTGGTAAATCCCGCTGAGATTCCTTGCATAAAGTCTCACTCTCCTTAATCATATTCACTTCTTCTAGGTAACTCAGTTCAAAGTGCTTGCGGTTTCTAGCCATCTCCTCTCACTATATGTGGGTAAAACAAAACAGAAAATGCATTTGTATGTGTACGTGTGTGTACACATACCCATATGATCTTCCTCATTGAAAGATTAAAACTGAAGTGTCTTGAACAGAAGGTGTTATATACTATTAGACCCTTCACCTTAGTTTAAAGACACTTCAGTTTTAAAAATGCCTGTTATAAACACTTTTAACAATTTAAGCAACACCTATAAAAAGGCCTTTAACCTAAGTCTCACAACAATGCTGAGCCACACAACTAATTTTTAAGGGTTAACTTAAACAGCACTTTTCCCCCCTTCTAACTTTTGCAGTTCATCCAATAATGTGAGATCTATTCTGTCAAGTGAATGTTACTATCCTAAAAGGTACAAAAAGGCTCTTAGCTTGCCTCACATTGACACACACACACCTTGACACACCCCTTCTCCACCTCATGCCTCTACACCATATTTGACCATTTTGTTACACGTGCTCAAGCTCCTTGTTTGTACTTTGTGAGATTTTTCATTGCACAGGTGCCTTCGAGCAGCAGGTGTTGCAGTCTGAGCCTCTGCGTGTTAGTCACAGGTGGCTGAACCAACCGTATTGCCCCACTTCATCATTACTTCCTTGCAGTGTCCCACTCCCTACAAAGATGGTCAAGACATCACCTGCTTTGCTACGGTTCATCCGTCCCTCGTGGGAAGGACTCAGCCACTGGAACGTTCAATGTTTCACTGCTGGGTATTTTCTTTAGCCTTTCTGGGGACTAGAGCAGAAGGGGTCTGGTCACCTTGTGACCCCTCTCTGGTAATACCGGCCCGTTCTGCTCACGCTGCAAACCGGGATCTTGACCGCAACCACACCCACACCCGGTGCTGGCCGGCCGGCGGCAGGGGCGCAGCCTCGAGCACTTCACTTGCCCCAGCGCCCCCGGGAAGTTTGGGACAAAAAAAATTTACGCCCCCCCAGGAAGCCCAAGGTGAGCCCGGCCCAGGCTGGTCCCGGAGGAGAGGAGGGCGATCGCAAATGGCGCGGCTCCCTGCCCATAAGGCGGCGTGGAAGGCGGGCACCACCTCCCGCAGCCGCCCGCGGAGCCTCCAATCCCCCCGCCCTGCTCCGCATCGCTCCCCGCCCCGAGCCTCTCACCTGCCCCGGCCAGACCCGCCGGGAGCCCGGCACTGGGGGGGGGAAGGGGACGCGCTCGGGTGCCTAGCAACGGCCCGGCGGGGAAGAAGGGCCACCGCGGGGTCCCGCCGGCCCGCAGCGCCCTCTGCAGCCGGGGAGGGGCAGCCACAGCGCGGGGCTGAGGTCCCCTGCAGCAACCTGGCTTCTAGGCAGGGGAAGTAGTACAGGGAGTCCCTCAGGCCCAAGGGGCACGGAAATAGGCCGGGGATGGGATCTCCCTGGAGGTTGTGCCCGTGTCCCCTGGCTCCATTAAAGGCCTGCCCTGAAAGCAGCTCCACACACGGCATTCATGTGGTACCCTGAGGACTGAGACACTCCCACCTACGTTAGACCCAGGCTGCTTCTATCTCAACCCAACCTGGCGCCAGAAGGGCCTTCTCTGGCTCCTGCCATCGCCAGCCGTGAGGTTCCCTTAGCTAATGTTGAGGATGCACCTAAAACACAGCAGGGTTCATCTCGCACTTCCGGCCCTACCGCTTATGAGTCTAACAAGGGTAAACAGGAGTGAAAACTGTCGTGAGTGGCATCTTGTCTCTGTGGCTCCAGGTACAAATGGCCAATTGACCTAGCCTTCAAAAAATAGGGGCATATCCACTATATCAGACAGCAGCAGTAAGAGCTGTACATTGTAACAATAGGCCTCTTAACCTACAAGAAATGGAAAAATGGTTTGTTCATTAAAAAGTGGGGGGAAAGCTGCATGGAAAGGCTTAGAAAATTCAGGGATAAAGTGAGGATTGCCAAAGTCAGGCAGTGTTAGGCCTTGCAAAGGAGAGTACAACACATAATAGATGGTCTTTAGCAACAGAAATAAACAGAACAACAAATTAAGAATTAGTGGGCTACCATGCAAGGAAAAAGGAGTCAGAAGTTAAGTTATGGCCCAAAAGCCATGTGAATATCTTGCCTCGGTTTTCAGTAAGGACGACACTGTAGAACAGTGGTTCTCAGCTCTGGTGCTGCAGCACCCCAGGGTGCCTTTCAAGAGTGTTATGAGATGCCACACTCTATTAGCTTGTTAGGTGTGCAAACATGATTCATAAGATCAACCCAGACGTTTCAAATAGAAATCCAGTGTTATAAACACTTGGATCTGTTGTGGTGTTTCTGAGTTCTTTGCAAGAGAAGAATTGCTCTATTGTTTTTCTGTAATGAAAAAATAAGTGAAAACTAAGAGCTGGCATTTTCTCAGGGGGTGTCTTTAGTCTAACAAAGGGTGCCTTGAAACTAAAAATGTTGACAATCACTGGGTGTGTCTACAAGTGTATTAATGCACCTTAGATACTGTGCATTTAGTTTAGTACTTCCTTAATACAGCATTAACTAAATGCACAGTACCTAAAGTTACTCAGCAGTAGCACCAGCACACGGTTATTTAGAGACGCTTACTGTACATTAGCCTAATAACACTGTGCAGTAGACTATTAGAATGGTTTTTGCTGTGACACGCTACTGTGCAGTGTTATTAGGCCAACGTGCAGTAAGCGTCTTGTGTAGACATGTCTACTGATGTAGAATATGGGGACAAAGGCAGCACATCCAAAGCTGAAGCAAAATTCAAAAAGCTAAATGGTTCAAGAGGAGAAGAAAGGAGCTAAATAATCCCCATTCCTGACCATTCAAAGAACTGACATGTGAAACAGCAGTTCCAGTAGAAAGAAATTTTAATTAATCTATCAGATTTGTGCTAGTACCATATAACTGGAGATTAACAAATCTAGTACCTATGTTTAAGAAAGGTGAAAAAAGTGATGCAGATAACTACAGCCCTTGTCCAGACCTACGTGCAAAATTCAAATGAGTAAATCATAATAATGGTGCCTTTTGCACAAGAATGCAAGTTTGTGATTGGGACCCATGAAATACAACAATACTGTTAATCACATCTTTGGCTTCTAGTATTGAATACATCCCATGTCTAACAACCTGAGATCAATTATGAATAGGTTCCCCTTTCAAAGTGATTGCCCCTCCCTGTTACCACATTCCTCAGCAGTCTAAGCATCTAGGCTGGTTAACAAATATTTTGGAATCTGACCTATACAGTGACCCACTGTGGTCTGAGATGCTTGATTCAATTAATCAAGTCCTATTGCTATTAATTAGAGGATAAAACTCTGGCTTCAGGTGCTAAACTTAAGTAATCAAGCCCTGTTACAGTTAAGTAAATAATAAACCTCCAGAGATCAAGGGTTTTGTGCATGTTAGTTTCACCAACAACAACCAGGGATGGATCTGAAAAGTTAACATCTACAGTGCAATCAAAGAACAATGACCCTTCCCCCTGTTGGCTTTGTCTGGGCTCTAATCATGGGTCCATCAAGAAAATACAGTTTCAAGAACAAGTATAAAAGAGGAGTACAGCTGCCAGTACAGGGTGCTCACCCCAGGAGAGAAAAACCCCATAACCTGCACCCAGCTGACCACCCTCAGCAATGGATCCATGCCTGGTGAAAGCTACAACAATCAGAACTACTTCCTTGGTGAGAGAACACTTTTACCACTAGAGATTTGCTGGACTTGATTATAGCTTGCTTTATTTGTTTATTGCAATAGCCTACCTGTAATTTTCCTATTAATCTCATTATCTAATTAATAAAGCCTTTCTGCTTAATATAGATGGAAGTGTTGTGTCAATCCTCTTAAAGCACTAAGTTTCCTATTTTAATTGTAACAAGCCTGATCTCAGCAGAACATGAGGCTTTAGAAGGAAACAATGAGTAAAGACAAGGAGGTAAATGGAAAATGGGATAAAATGCATTTTAGCCCCAAGGGTAATTTTTGCCAGATTAATAAGGTATTTTTCTTTGAGAAATAACTGTTTTTTTTTAAACAAGGGAAATGTTATAGATCTAACCTATCTGGACTTCAGTAAGGCACTTAATAACAGGTGGCAAGTTACTAGTTACAACAGAGAATGTGGGAATTAGAACAAAAATTGGAATGGGAGTAAAGAACTGGATAAAGGGGAGAAGACAACATGCTGCAAAGAAAACTGTTAGGTTAGAGGGAGGTTATTAGTGGAATTCCTCCAGGAGAGGTCCTAAGAACTATATGATATTTTCATTAATGAACTTGGCACAAAATTTAGGAGAATATCACTTATATTTGCTGATGACAGAAAATTGTGAAGCATCACCAGTATGGAGAAGTATTGGAATACCATAGAGGAGAAATTGGATGACCTCAAAGAATGAAGTAATAGAAATAGAATGAAATGTAATATAATAAAGTGTAAGGGATTTACCACCTGGAAATGACATAAAGAAGAAAAACCTGATCAAAGGTGCTGGTTAATCAGAGGCCAACTACAAGCCATCAATGTCCTATAGACAGGAGAAAAGCAATTGTAAACCTAGGATGTATCCAGCAAGGTATTTCTAGCAGAAATGGGAAGTATTAATGATATTTTGTAAGAGATCTCATCTGGAATGCTATTTACAATTTCTGGTTGCCCATGTTCAAGAAAGATAAAGTCAAAATGAAAGAACTACAGAGTGGGTTACTAGGATAATTGGTGGAATAGAGAAAGAACCTATTTTAAGAGAAGCTTGGCTTGTTTAACCTACCAAGACAAAGACTGAAAAGGGTACTTGCTCCCCATAAATATAATGGTAGTGAGGGATAAATACCAAGGAGCAAAAAGAGCTGCTTAAGTTAAAGGACAAGGTTGGTGCAAGAATAAATAAGTGCAAACTAGCCATGAATAGATTTAGAATGGAATTTAGAAAAAGGTTTCCAACTATCAGAGCAGTTAGATTCTGGAAGGGCTGTTCATTGGAAGCAGTAATGGCAAAAACCTTACTAGTTTTAAGGTGGAGGATGATAACTTTATGAATGTGATTGTATGATGTGTATGCCTGCAACAGCTCAATGATCCAGGTTTCTCACCTATTTTTCTTTTAGAGGTTTTTGAGTTAGGAGCATGAGGATTCCACTATAAAAATGGCCAGCCTCAGTGAAATAGCAAAACATTTTAACGACTTATCTAAGAAGATCCTTGGCACCATCATACGTTAACTCATCATTGATATACCAGGCAGCCCCTGAGCTGGAGGGCAAGGGTTCCTTCCTTCTGCCATGGCAGCACCTCCCTGGCATGGCTGAGCAGGCTGCCAGTGGGCCAAGTGCTGCCTGAGCTCCCAAGGGCCAGCTTCCTCAGAGCCCACCAGCGTGTGAGGGCCCAATCCTCTTTTTTTTTCACTTTGACAAAGATCAAAGCGAAAAATAACTTATACACTGGATATATGAAAAACTTTTTTATAAAAAAAAAAAAAAAAATTGGGGTTGACTTATGCACCATGAAAAACAGTAAATGGCCATAATGCCCAATGTTTATATATCATTCAAAATAAAAAAGAACCATAATTTCTCACAAGAAAGTCTGAGATGAAGAATGGTGGAAGTACGACTAACAAATGGGAATCCTTAAACGCTTCAATTATTTCTCTGGCAACTCATCTAAATGCAGAAATGTCCTTATGTCAGGAAAGTGCTTTCTCTTGACATGGGAAATGATTTTCTTCTCCTAAGAAAGTTTGTCATCATCCATGATGTTCATATTAAGGTGAAAGGAGGAAAAATAAGTAAGATATGCCAGAAGAACATTTTAACAGTAGTAGATCTCAAATTGAATTGTAATTAAACCTTTCATTTTCACAA